ATGGTACCGTGTTGTGTCGTTTTAAGGTGTGTATAGTGGGTATTAAGACTGTCAGTTCTTAGGTGGCCATATCTATATAGCTGTGTGCCAAGGAGACGAGTTTGCAAATAGCCTGGGTGCTCTGTTACCTTACCAAACTGTTCGGGATTTTTATTCCTGGTTTTGAATACTCTCCAAGTTCTCAGAATATAATTTTCTTGAAAGCGTGTACTTTTGTTCTTCGTGAGAGGTACTCTTCATATATTTCTTCATTTTTCAAAGCCAGGATAATTTTCAAGGGCGGATGACAGAACCAACTGTCCTTCCTGTGCATGCAGAACAAACACAGAAAAGAGAGAGTGTTGCCACACAGCTGATGAAGCATGAAAAGGAAGAGGGTGTTCGTGTTCCTTCTAACGAACTTGGTTCAGCAAAAGCAGCTGTTTACCAGAGAGAGCAGTCTACGTCGGAGTTAAGAAAGGACGGTGTATACAAAAGTACTCGGAGACCTGAGAAGACAGAAATTATTAAATCGCTTGTGACAGATCACGATACATTTAGAAACTGTGAACTATATCTACCTGTGTCTAGTAATTGTTCAGCAGTGGAGTCATCTGAGGACAGGTAAGGTTTTTTTTAACGTATGTATGTCAACAGCTTTTCTGTAGAGAGGGGTACATGGAAGTGCATTTCTTGGCAAAATTTCATATATGTTAGAGGGTTAGTGAAATAGGACTAAATGTCAGATCTTAAACTTTGAAGGCCACTTTATTTTTATAGTTTATGAATGATCTTTCTTTCCCATCTAATAGTATATAGGGCAGATATATTCATACAAAATCATGTTTTGTCAATAGTGCTTTCCCCTCTGTCCAGCTTAGTTGTGCTTGCTGTTGTCGTGGACTATTAGGTTTAGGTGTTGGGGTTTTTTTTGGTGGTGTGAGGGTTTTTTTTATTGTTTGTTTTCAAAAGCAAAGACCATGATACTCTTAAGTAAAATCTCACATACAGCCTTTTTTTCCTTGGTGTCTTTGGTTTATTAATTTACTAATTCAATGATTTAAGTGTTTGCCCACAACACTGTGCACTATTTATTTTTTCTTTTGTGCATGCATGCGTTCATTTGATTTTTCTTTTCCATCTGCTATTTTATTCTCACTCTATTGTTAAATATTAATGTGAAGACTAATGGGGGAAGGCTTAAGTTTCCACATTCTTGTTTCCAAAGATTTACTTAATTATGTGCTTTGCTAGAACAATGTTAAGATGCACTTTCAACTCTGAGAGTGTCTGGACAGATGGATTGCACCTTGATTTCAAAACAGCTTAGTTAAATTGCAGTACTTTGTTATGCTGTATGTTGATCTATCAGGTTCTGGCTCTATGGGTTGTCTTTTGTCAGCTCCCAGAAAGAAGATGGGGTAATACTGCAGAGGAACATGACACTGCTTGCTCTACACCAAGCTTCTTTCTAGAGTGATCTCATTAGTTTACTGAGTTGAGCACTTTTTCACTTTGTGCCTTATAACCTAACGTATTCGAGGATGTATCCTTAAGTAAGGCTTCCCCATTCCCTGCCATATCCTGTGGGATCTCTTGTAGAAGCAGGTTAGTCCATGCTCAGAGGGGGAGGTTGTTGCTTTATGTTTTGTTGTTGCTTTATGTTTTAAATACTTAGCTTGTAGATAAGCTAGGCTAGAGATTGCTGCTGCTGAATACTGAGGAGTTTGGATTTATTTCATAGTGTTTTCAAGGTCATTAACTGTTCCTGAAATTCTTCACAAACCTTAATTTCTGCTGAGAAATGAGATTACACATGAAATTAGGGTTTATCCTGTGGCACACTGTGACAAGGATAAGGACTTGGGATAAGCATTTCTATGATTTTACTTCTCATCAGGTAGTACTCTTTTTATGAAGTCCTGTGTTTAATATCTACTTCATCTGTTGTTTCTCTTTGTTATGAACCAGATTTCAGGCAGCTACTTGAGTACCCAGGAAAGCTAGTTTGGTAGTTAGAAGTTTGAAACTTGAGTAAAAACTAAACTGTAGTCTCATATGACTGCACAATAGATGACAGTTTTCTGATATTAACCTATATTTGTCTTCATATTTCTCAAGGGAAATATATACAAATGGATTAGAAATGTTACCTGTTTTTAAGTAAGCTGGTTTGGATAAAAAGAAACACAGAGCCATGATTTACCAGTGTATTTTTTGCAGTTTAATGGGAGTAATTAATTACCATCTGGCTACATTAAACCCTTTCTTGCAATCTTTCTAACTGCTTATCCTGTCTTCGGTAGATGTGATTGTATGACATGCCACTCAGTATCATGTTTAAAGGAATGTGCAATTTATTATTTGTTCTTTAACACTCTGTGAATCTTCATTCTCAACAGTAATGTTCACACCCTGTCTTTGAGATCTTTTCTTGATAGTGCTAGGCTTTGCATAGAAACAAAAATCCTTTTAGGCCATCGTTTTCTCCCTCATGGTCATAATTTGACTTAAGAATCTCTGTATATAGTCTCAGATGGAGACATTTGACTCTTCAGACAGCATAAAAGCCCGTATTATTCAAGGAGGAAATGTTTGTCTGGATTTCAGCCTCTAGGCTGCAGTTTGGATTATGTGAGAATTTTTGATGTCTTTGAGTTTGTAATGTTCAAACCAGCTGCAGATAGCTGGCTACTTTTCATTGTAATATTCTGTCTTGTATTGTGCTCATTACTAGGCAGGTTGCTCAGCCTCAGTGGAACATAGCTACAAAGTTCTGATGATTAATGCATTCTTAGTTGGATGCATAGGTTGTAGAATTTCTATACTCAGCAAATAGGATCTTAGTTTGTGTCTTTTGCAAATTTATCTGTAAAATTTCCAAATGCAAAGGGACTTAAGTATTCTGTAGTGTCCTTACAACCAGCAGAAATTCAGGCAGTGATTTGTTAGCAATGTAATAGTCATAGATGAGGGAGGTGAATAACTGTGAGCAATTTTTTGGGTTTTTTTTTTTTTTTGTTTTTTTTTTCCCTGAAAACTTCTGTTGTTTTTATGAAAATGTGCAAGGTGGAAAGTAAACTGAGTTGAAAAACAGTTGGAGGAAGACTTAAGTACTTTACTGGTGGTTAAAAATTGGGGGAAAAGGTAAGTGGCTAAGATTTGTGCTGTTACATGAGGCATGTGTTGATTCTTATTGCAGTGAGGAGGACATGTATCGTGATGCAGAAGAAATAGAGAGAGAGAAAACACTACTTTGCAGGACAAGCTTTTCAGGTATGTTCAGACTTCTACTGATGTTTCAAATAGAGCATTACAATTCTGTACGCTAATTAATAGCACTAATTTGTGATGACTTGACACACTTATTCCCTAGGTTTTTTGTGCACAGATGTCTCTCTGTGCACTAGAAGTTACTTATCATGACTGAATACATCATGCAGTTTAATTCATGAAAAGATAGATTTTATGTAAAGCTATTTGCTCTTAGTATATTTTCCCCATGTTTCAATAATTACTTTACAAGAGAATGTGAATCTTTTGGAAAGCAGTCATATAACCTGTGTTATGAGTGTTGTGTTTGAAAATTACTGATTTATAGTCGTTGTAACAGCATCTATTGCTGGGATCCCTCGATAACCTTAGTGCTATGTGTTTTGGAATGAAGGCTGATGGGATTCCAAGAGAAAACTGTTACTTCCTCTTTCAACTGTTGTTTCTGGCTTCTTCAGAAAGATCTATTACCTTTTTCCCTTATAATCTGGCTGCTGAAAGAACAGCACATTTTGACAAATATTTTTCTGATTGCTAAGAAAATAAAGAGTACTTAACTAATTTCTACTCTTTGCCAATTAATATTTTGCTAAGAGAGGGTGTCCTGGGTTCAGCTACAGCAGTCATTTTTTCTCCTTCTTAGTAGCTGGTGCAGTGCTGTGTTTTTGACTTTCAGTCTGGGAACAATGCTGATAACACCAATGTTTTTAGTTGTTGCTAAGTAATGTTTACTCTGACCAAGGACTTTCTCAGTCTCATGCTTTGCCAGAGAGGAGGGGAAGCCAGGAGGAAGCAGAGGCAGGACACCTGACCCAAACTGACCAAAGGGGTATTCCATACCACAGCACGTCATGCTGTCATGTATCAGAGGAAGAGGAAGCCCAGTATATAAACTGGGGGGAGTTACCCAGAAGGCCCAGATCGCTGCTCGGGTCGGGCTGGGTATCGGTCGGTGGGTGGTGAGCGGTTGTGTCCTCTCCCCTTGTTATTCCTCTTATCATTATTATTGGTAGCAGTAGTGGTTTATATTATACCTTAGTTACTGGAGTGCTGTTATCTCAACCCGTGGGAGTTACATTCCTTCGATTCGCCTCCCCATCTCTCCGGGAGCGGGGGGAGGAAGGAAAAGGGGGGGAGCGAGCGAGCGGCTGTGTGGTTCCAAGTTGCCGGCTGGGTTTAAACCACGACAGAGGGGCAGCATGTTCTCTTGTTTTGTTGGACAACATGATTATTTTTGTGCACTTGTGTCGTGGTTCAAGCCCAGCTGGCAACTTGGAACCGTGCAGCCGCTCGCTCACTTCCCCCCTCTTCCTTCCTCCCCCCGCTCTCGGAGGGATGGGGAGGAGAATCGGAGGAACATAACTCCTATGGGTTGAGATAACAGCACTCCAGTAACTAAGGTATAATACAAACCACTACTGCTACCAATAATAATGATAAGAGGAATAACAAGGGGAGAGGACACAACCGCTCACCACCCGCCGACCGATACCCAGCCCGACCCGAGCAGCGATCTGGGCCTTCTGGGTAACTCTTCCCCAGTTTCTATACTGGGCATGACATGCTATGGTATGGAATAACCCTTTGGCCAGTTTGGGTCAGGTGTCCTGTCTCTGCTTCCTCCTGGCTTCCCCTCCTCCCTGGCAGAGCATGAGGCTGAGAAAGTCCTTGGTCAGAGTAAACATTACTGAGCAACAACTAAAAACATTGGTGTTATCAGCGTTGTTCCCAGGCTGAAAGTCAAAACCACAGTACTGCACCAGCTACTAAGAAGGAGAAAAAAATGGCTGGGGTAGCGGAACCCCAGAGAAAAAAAAAAATGGCTGGTATAGCTGAACCCAGGACAACTTGTCATTTTCAAAGCAAGCTGGCTTTCTTCCCCCTGGCTACTAATAATTACTTAGTAGCTATAGATTGTGCTGCTAGTCTCCTTTGGCACCAATGTTATTTTAGAATGATAGGGTGCATTTAGAAATTCAGTTGTTCTGTTTCACAGTTCTCTGCCTAATGTTACTTAATCTATTTTGATAGAATATAAACTAAGTGTTGCACCTGAAATGGACATCATGGAGTATTGCAGAAAAGAATGGAGAGGAAATACACCAGTAGCAAAAAGGATGAGAAAGGTATCAGTTCTCTTTTTGTTGAATTTTGTTGGGCCTTTTGCTTTCATTTGTATATTCAGTAGGTGATTTCCTATAGGAACAACCTTTAAAACAGGCAATGCAATAGCAAAGTTTTCCAGTGTCTGGTCTTGTAAATGGCTGACAACTGGAAGATAGTTCTGTCATATTCATTCAAAATGTGTTTTTTAGTAAGACTACTTGTTGATAGTGGAGGGTTTTGACTAATACTGTTCTTCAAAAATTTGGTTTATTACCATAAAATGGTAATTTTGTGGGCTGTTGAAATGGCAGAGCAGATCACCAAATTTGTTGGCAAAAGGCAAATAACTGAAGTTAGTGAACTGCATGCTTTTTAAGATAGGGAACTTTAATGAATAGGCTCAGTTTTTCTTAAGTTTTTCCTATATTCTTACTTTTTTGTAGGTTTTGTGCTAGTTTTCTTAAATTAGTCTTGAGCTAGAGTGGTAAAGAATAAAGCATAGGGTTGGTTGGCTTTTTTGGTTCGCTTTTTTTAACATAATTTTAAAATTTAGTGGTATGCAAGCAAACCTAAAAGTGCTTTCCATAAACTGAAATATCCGTGTGTCACCTTCAAGAGATTAGTGAGAGAAATACAAATGCATAGCTGAAGAGACATGCTGAGATTCAGAAGTTACGTTTCAACACTAATGCTTCTGCTGAAAGTGTATGTAATGGGAACAGCAGGGAGGGAACGAATTTGCTGAGGCATGCGTCAAGATATTTCAGTGTAAACAAAAATTTTCCCTGGGGCAGAAACAAATTACATGTGACATGTATTGGTTGAGTAGAATCATAGAATCCACCAGGTTGGAGAAAACCTTTAATGTCATCAAGTCCAACCATTACCCCAGCACTGCCAAGTTCACCACTAAACCATATCACCGAGGGCCTCATCTACATGGTTTTTGAACACTTCCAGATATGGTGATTCTACTACTTCCCTGGGCAGCCTGTTCCAATGCCTGATCACCCTGTCAGTGAAGAAATTTTTCCTAATATGCAATCTAAACCTCCCCTGGTGCAGGCTGTTGCTTGTTAGCTGGGAGAAGAGGCTGACTTCCAGCTCTCTATAACCTCATTTCAGGTAGTTGTAGAGAGCAACAAGGTCCCTTGGAGCCTTCTCTTCTCCAGACTAAACATCCCCAGTTCTCTCAGCTGTGCCCCATCAGACTTGTGCTCAAGACCCTTCACCAGCTTTGTTGCCCTTTTCTGGACCTGCTCCAGCATCTCAATGTCTCTTGCAGTGAGGAGCCCAGAACTGAACACAGCATTCAAGGTGCAGCTTCACCAGTGCCCAGTACAGGAGGATGATCACTTCACTTTTGAATTTTCAAAATGGGTAGTGGGTCAAACTATTTCTTTTTTTTTTTTTTTTTTTTTCTAATAGCATTAGCATTTGGATACTAACATTCCCGTATCTTTTATGATACCAGTACAAGACTTTAAATGTATAATTAATGCTTTTATGTTATTTGGGGTTTGTGTTTTTTTTTTTTTCCTAGGGATATGAAGCAGTTGCTCAGAAGTTTGCATCTATTAGGAGAGTACGAGGTGATAACTACTGTGCTTTCAGAGCAACTCTTTTCCAGGCACTAAGCCAAGCTACCCAGTTACCAAGCTGGCTGCAGAGTGAGGATTTTACTATGGTATGTGTCAAGCTCTGATCTCTGACAGTAAAGGAATGTTGGTTCTAACCTATTTGATAATTTTATGATCACATTTCTCTGTTATGCTGTACATGCTCACTTCGTAATATTCCTGAAATTGCAAAGTGGTAATGTTAAATTTTGTTGTTTGTTTACACTGATTCTTCCAACTTGGAATTGAGTCCAGGTCCAGTTTATAGTGTATAAATTTAACTATAGTGCTAACTGTAATATAACTTGTCTTCATCTTGCCCTCTTGTTCTTCTTACTGCATGTAATATGGCAGTAAGATATTTTCCACAAGACAGCTGGCAATAACAAAAACATAGACAGCTTATTCCAAGCACATTTGAAAAAACAACAGGTTTTCAAATTTATTGTATGTGTTCTTGGGTGCCATATATGGTTTCTCTAGAAAGTAGATATTAACAAATTGGATGTTGTAGGCTTTCCAGAATCTGTTTATTACCTCTGTCTTAACTGTTACTTAAAATAAGTGGAAGAACAACTCCAACCTGATAGGAAGAACACATCTTATGGAGCATTGATGGATAAGCAAAGTGAGGTGTCTTCCTAAAAGTAGAAGAATATTCCAGAAATTGTCTTGTGGCAACAAAGTCTATTTGCTGATATTGGTGAACGTGGAAGAAATATTTAAGAAGCTGCCTATGTGAAAGTGGCCCCCTTCCGGGGAGTATGGTTCCAGATGTCCAATCTGCTGCTGGAAGTGTAAATGATGTCTGGTGCAGACTCTGTGTGTAGGCTAGCAGTCCAGGGTTAATAAATGAGGGTAAAAAAACTAGGCATGCAACTGCCAGGATGTCCTTCAGGAGAAGTGTAAAAACTTTTAACTGAGCAGGTGTAGCATGAGAACAGTAAAAGAGGCAGTCCAAAAGCTAAAGTATGATCTGGTGAATCAACTAGTGCCCAGGTTGTTTTCTTACTTATAATAAAACCTGTCCCATAGTGGTTTTGTTTTGTGGTTGTTTTTTTTTTTTTT